CACATAATTAAAGCTATGAATGAATGAGCTTCCCAAATGTCTTCAAAATAAAAGCAGAGATGTAAGGACAAAACTTGAGTACAAGTAGCCAGAAAAGAAGGAAATCAATAAGATACAGAAAGTTTAAGTATAGTATCCTGGAAGATGAAGCATTAACTTTGACTGTGGTGTAATGCTGTTCCTTTTTATCCTACACTGATAGTTAGTGTTAATACATTGTGAGAAAAATCACTAGATTGCAGACCAGAAAATCTGGCTCTGTCTCAACTCAGTTACTTGCTCTGTAGTCCTTGAGTGAATTACTTTCCATCTTTAAATCTAGGTTACCTCATCTGAAAGAGAAGAATGTTGGACCAGATGATTGTTATTGACTTTAGGATTTTTTACAAATGACATATAGGAAGTTAACAATGTTTCCAGTCTATTCCACTCACAGTCCTTCTCCAATATTCTCACAGTCCTGTCACAGGTGTTGAGTGACCTTACCAAAAAAACAGGAGATGTCATGCATTCCTTCCTAGAAAAATACATAGTACTGCAGGAGTCAAATCCTTTTGGTTTTACTACAGGACTATATTTACTATAATTTAATTAAAACTTCCACATTAACTGGGAAATACCTATATAAACTATGAAATTCTGAATGCCCATGTTTTTAAAATTATCTTTAAATAGTTGTATCAAAGGTTTCAGTTACCTTCATTTTGCATAAAAGGATTGAGAAGTTTTTTGTCCTTAATACTGTTTATGGTTATAGTTCCCTTCAAATTATTTCCCTATACTTTTATAATATATAAGAAAAATAAGCCAGGCACTGGTGGCTCATGCCTATAATCCTAGCTACTCAGGAGGCTAACATCTAAGGATGGCTGTTCAAAGCCAGCCTAGGCAAGAAAGTCTGTGAGACTCTTCAATTAAATCACAGAAAAGCTGCAAGTGATGCTGTGGCTCAAATGGTAGAGTTTTAGAGCAAAAGGAGCTTAGGGACAGTGCCCATACCCAGAGATCAAGCCTCAGAACCAGCAAAATAAATAAATAAAAGTTCCCTTATCCTGCTACAAAATAACTTCACAATTCCTATTTTGTGGAAGGTTTCTAATCTCCTATATTTCAGGATAATGATACTGTAGTACTCTATTTTACATTCACTATGCATATGCAAAGTTAAGAAGAAAGCTATTATAAGAAAGAACTATCTAGGGTTACTAGCAATGCTATTTTCATTCTAATTTCCAAATCTCTGAATTTGTGTAGTCTCCTTAGTCCCACCCTCATTGTCCCCACCATAACATTGGGTCACAACTGTAATATCAATTACTTAGGAGACAAGGACTGCAGTTCAAGGCCAGTCAGGGCAAAAAGTTATCTAGACTCTATCTCAAACAAGCAAGGCGTGGTCTGGGTCTCAGCTATTCAGGAGGCGAAGGTAGTAGGATTGCAGTCTCGGGCTGGCCCCAGGCAAATAGCTAGCTCAAGACCCTATCTGAAAAACAAACCAGAAACAAGGGGGACTAGGGGTGTAGCTCAATTGGTAGGGCACTTGTCTAGTGAGCACAAGGCCCTGAGTTCAACCCCCTAGTGTTCCCAAATGGGAAAAGGAGTACTGGCTCATTTTGTGAAACAGAAGCAATTTGCAGAGAGGGGATTTCCTGACAAGTCAGGGTTGGATCAACCACGTTAAGTAGCTTACTGCTTTTCAGTCATTTTATTGGTATACAATATGATACACCTGATTATAGAGAAGGTTTATTATATATACTTGTGAAATTATTACCTATAATCAAGAGAATGGGCATGGCTGTCACTACTCTTCACCCACTGCCCCCCACCCCCAAAATAAAAAAGGTTTCCTCTCATCCTCTTTGAAGGAATCTATATTGGTAGGGATGGAATCTAGGGCCTCAAATATGCTAAGAAGTGCTCGACCACTGAGCTATTTGTCTCAAGTACTCATCCCTCATTATTTTTCCCTCATTGTTTTAACATTATCTTCTTTTTTCCTTCTATCCTCCTCAGGCTGCCTAATCCCTAGGTAACTAACTACTGATGATTTACTTTGGTCACTAAAGATGTTTAGATTTCCTAGAATCTTATATAAATATTGTCACAAGTTTGTGCTTATTTTTCCCCTTTTGGCCTAATGTAATTACTTTAGACTCTTCCATGTCATAGAGTGTTTCAACCATTCATTTTTCCTTATTGCTGAGCAGTATTCCATTGTGTGGGTATGCCCCAGTTTGTTTTCTGTTCACCTGTTGATGGATACCTGGATTATTTCAAGCTTGGGTCTACTAAAAAAACACAATGAATATTTACATGCATGTCTTTGTGTAGACACATGCTTTCTTTTTTCCTTAGAGAAATCCGTAAGGGTAAAACAGCTAGATTATGTAGTAGGTGTTAAGCTTTTTAAGAAATGGCTAAACACTTTGCCAAAATGGTTGTATTATTTTACATTCTCCACATCAGTATTTGAGAATTCTAGTTCTCTACTCGTCTCAGCATTTGGTACAAGCTCTTTAATTTTACTCATTCTGATGGTGAGAGTACACAGCAATATCTCATTACACTTCTAATTTGCACTTCCCTGATGATTCATAATGCTAAGCTTCTACTCATGTGTTTATCATCTATGAATGTGGAAAATTGATCAAATTTTTATTAAAAGTTGGATTTTCTTGTGGAGTCGTAGGATTTTTTTGTACATTTTAGATAAAAGTCCTTTGCCAAATATATTTTGCAAATACTTTTTCAAACTTGGTGGCTTATGTTTTCATTGTCTTCAGTCATTTGAAAGAATGTTTATTATCAATTAAGTATAGCTTATATCAATTTTTGTATCATATTTAAGAAATCTTTGTCAAATCCAAGATCATAAGATTTTTCTCCCTTGGTTTTTCCTAGAAGTTTTATAATTTCAATTCTTACATTGAGATCCATTTATAGGTAATTTTTATATGATATGAGAAAAAGGATTTTTAGGGGAAGGGTATGTCATTTATAGGGTACGAGGAAAGGGTGTTTATATGGTATGAGTAAAAGGTTTGTTTTTTGTGTAACTATTCAAAGTTTTTGTTATTTTGTTTGCTTTATTTGTTGAAAAGATTGTCTTTTCTGCCACTGATTTGCTTTGCTGAAAATAAATTGATCAATTGATCACATAGGTGTAGATCTCTAGATTCCCTTCTCTCCTATTGTCACTACACAGACACCACACTGTGTTGATTACTATCTTAAAATCAAGCAGTGTAAATCCTCATACTGTTTTCCTTAATCAAAGTCTTACAAACATAAGATCCTTTGAATTTCCGTATGAATTTTAGAATCAGCTTGGTTATTTCCACAAAAAAGATCTTTCAGAATTTTCACTCAAATTACCTTGAATCTATAAATTAATTTAGACAGTAATGACAGCTTTAAAATATCGACTTTTCTAAGAACAATATACTCATTTAGGTCTTTCTCTCAGCAAGAGTTTGTACAGTTTAGGGGCTGGGAAGGTGCTCAGTGGTAGAGCACTTGCCTTGCATGCATGAGCACCACATAAGCAAAATGAAAAAAGCCGGAAGTGGTACTCTGGCTCAAGTGGTAGAGTACTAGCCTTGAGCTGAAGAGCTGAGGGACAGCGCCCAGGCCCAGAGTTCAGTCCCCACGACCGGACCCCCCAAAAAAAGTTTGTACAGTTTACAGTATGTATGTCTTTTACATATTTGGTTCAGTTTTCCCTAAGCATATCATACTTTTTACTGCTAAATAGTATTTTTTATATTTTAATTTTCAGTTTACTGCTAATTTATAGACACACGATTGGCTTTTGTTGTATCCTATAACTTCCACTAAATGCACTTAGTTCTAGAAGCTTTTCCTATAATTTTATTTTTATGCAAATGAAGATTGCTATATCTATTTCTTAATCTAGATGTCTTTTGTGTTATTTTACTGACTAGAACCTCCAATATAATGTCCAATTTAAGTGAAATGTCAAGCCAGACATGCTGGTGTGTGGCTGTCATTCCAGAAATCAAGAGGCCAAGGCAGGAAAATAAAAAACTTGAGGAAAGCCTAAGCTACATAGCAAAAACCTCTCTCAAAAACAACAAAAGGCAATTTTTCCAAGGCTGGAGTTCAAGTTTGTAATCCTAGCTACTGGGAGGCGGAGACCAGGAGGATGTTGGTTTAAAGCCAGCTCAGGCAGAAAAGTTTACAAGACTCCATCCAATTAACCAGCAAATTGCTGGGCTGGAGATGCGTGTAGTTCAAGTGGTAGAAAGCCAGCTGTGAGCAAGATAAGAATGAGCTGAGGATTTGAGTTCCCTGATCTCAAGCTCAGTACTGACAAAAGCCAAGAAGGATATTTTCTACAGAATTCGATTTCTGACTTCCAGGCCTAGATTTGGCTTAAGGACTTTGAATTTGTTGTTGTTGTTATTTGGGAACTTACTAGATTGTTACTTATACTTTTATTTTTAAGCTCTTTGGCATTCTAGTGTTCACATATTCGTCAAACATTCAGAAGCTGCGGGGAGCTGGTGGCTTACACCACTAATTCTAACTACTTTAGACCTGGAGGATCACGGTTCAAAGCTAGCTCAAGCAGGAAAGTCCATAGATTTCATCTCTAACTAACCAGCACTGATGGCTTGGAATCCAAGCCTTAGCCAAACCGGGGCTCACAGTGCAGCCTTTGTCACCAGCTGGATGCGCAGGCTCTGGAGATGAAGATGCCCAGTTCTGGAACTGGCGCCAGGAAAGGCGGCAATTGGCCAAGCCGTCTCCCCCACGCCACCCAATAAGCCCTTGCCTAGGCTCGTTTCAAGCCAATGGGCTCCTGCGTTTGGCCCGTCGCCCCTTCGTTATCACAAAGGCCTCCGGCTTCAGCAAGTTATCAGCCAGTAGGGCGGGGGCCGACTTTGGAAGGAGTTCAGAGCGTCGTCTCCTGGCAACGCCGGGGGGGGGGGGGGCGGAGCCTTTGCGTCAATGAGCTGCGACCGTGACACTGTCCTGCCCGTCGCCGCCCGCGGATGCCAGCGGCGGGCCGTGGCGGCGTAGCTGCCGCCGGGAGCGCGATGGCTTGAACCAAGGGTGAGCTTCACGGTGCTGCTCCCTCCCCACGTCCCTTCCTAGTGCCCCACCTCTGTCGTGCTGGGGAGTGGACACACTGGCTCAGCCTCGGCTTGCCGAGCCGGAGTTCGGGAAAGCCGGGCCCTGCCCGGCCGCCCTGTCCAGGCCTCAGCGCGCGGGGCCGGTTTGGAAGCCGGGTCTGTGGATGCGCGGCGCCCACCCGGAGCTTCCCAGTGGCGGGCGCGGACGGAGCTGGTCCAGCTTTGGGGGTGTGGCTCTGGGCGAGCGAGGTGACGGTGTTTCTCCCGGAGCCCTGAAGCGTTCGTTTGAAAATGACCGCCGCCGCGGTCAGTCACTTGGTGACCGGGTTGAGCTGCTGGTAAGCAGTGCCTGGGGTTTAAGGAGGGGCCGAGGAGGCCCCCGGGGCTGCGCCCTGCGCGCGGGACACCTCGCGTCAGGAACTGTTGGCCTGGGGCGTCACCCGGACAGGCCGGGTCAGGTTTCTTGCTAAGCCCTACATTTCTAATTAGATTAGGCTGCTGTGCTGCCCCGAAGCCCTTGCCCAGCGCGCTAGCTGCTCCCTTTATATCCTTTGGCCAATAAGTGTAGAAGGAGCCCTTCGGGACAACACTCCTCTAGTTATCTCGAGTTTACAGAATATGGATTTACTATTACTGTTATTGTTGAAATCTGTCCCCCCAACCTCCCTTTTTGAAATGAATGGCATATTTTGGCATCCTGACCCTGCCCTATTTCAAGGTACTCAGCTTTTTTTCCCCCCTCTGACATGTTCGTCGCTAAGGCTGAAAGTCACACAGTTGTTTAGAATTCTTCCAGCTTCTGCACCTCGTTGATTGTTTCTGTGCTCCACCCATTCTCCTAGCTATAGATGAACTGCATCTATTCAGAATTTTGCCTGGGGCATGGACTGCCACTGACCAGAGCTTCTGAATTTGTCCCCTCTGTGTGGAAATCACCCCTCTAAGAGAGTAGCAATGCTTTCTAAATTCAGAACTCAAATACTAAGCATTTTTTCTTCTTGCTGCCCCCAGAATATGACTTTCAAAAATCGTTCTTTTTTGGTGTATGACTTTTATATTTGATCCCTCTTGATTCCTCTTGATTCTTATCCACACATTTCCCTCCCCCCCTCCATTCCTAAAAAGGCCGGAAGCTCCCAAGAAAATTCATACAAATCTATGGTATTATTTCAAAATATGGAATGTATTTAGAAAACACTTTTTTCTGATTAACATTTTTGATCCTAGAACAGGCATTCCAAATTATGTGACTAGCCTAATTATTTCACTGTGTATCTGTTAATTTGTTGTGTTATATTCCTGTCTTTTAAAACATCTGGGATACTTAGAGATGTAGAGATTAAGTAAGCAATAGGTAAAAAGTAAATAGTATCCTTAGTAACCTAGTTATAGTAATTAATATTTACTACTGAGATTAAACTTGATCTGAAATTTGGTAGGGAATGGCTTTCAGAGAGGTCTTCTAAATACTGCAGTACTTGGCAACTAGTCATCCTGTTGCACTCTCAGGCTTTTCCATTTGAATTTGACTTGGTCCTTTATGAATGGCTGATTATGGCTTAAATTTTCAGGAAGTTTTTATGGGGCTTTTTTTGTAGTTATGTGTGATGTGATTGTTAAATTTTTTTATAAGGAATATTTGCACTACAACAATTCGTCTGTACCACCCACCAGAGAATGTGGCATTTTTGGAATCCTTGATGTCCTTATGAGTTTCAAAATAACAATTCTTTATTTAGAAAAGTCCCTCCAATGGTTTTTGAAACCCACTCCGTCTTGTTGGAAAGGACTATGTTACAGACAAGATAGTAGTCTGAGAATAAAGTAGTCCTTGGAGAAATCTTAAAACTACAGATGTGTCCTTTACTAAATTTTAGGCCAGTGGTTTACAAATTATGTTCTTATGCAGTGCTACTGTTCAGTAATTTAGAGGGATGTATTTTGTTAATATGAAATAATTTCCCTGTTTATATGTTTGATAATGACCAGGTTTTACAGTTTTACATTTCTTTTTCTAATTCTCTCCTAGTTTAGTGATAATAGACAAGTCAACAAATTAACAATAATAACATATATTAATAACCATATTAGCATACACACATGTATCTGAATAGTAACATTCAGAAAACATGTTGTACCTAGTATCTTCCAGAAAGGAGAACACACCTAAATGCAGACGTGCATGGAGGGGAGTGATCAAGTGATTTGACTGGTGATATGTGCAATCATAGCAGTAGGTACAGTCAGTCACCAAAGAGGACAAACTGAAAAATCTGTAGTGGGTGACTAAAGGATGACCTGGACAGATTGGTTTTGTGAATATGTTGTGGCTTTATATTGCATACAAATTACAATCATATTTTTACATTAATAGTAGATGTTAATATTAGTATTGATTTCTGTATAAAGAATTCAAGATTCTCTCTCAGATTGAGAACCACTGTGGCCATCAGTCTTGGGCAGTCTCTAAATAGATTGTGTTTTAATTCAAGGAGTCAGTGATGAGGTTTCCTGGATACCAAGTGCAATGACAAGAAAACATGCTACAGTATTTTCACAATAAAAAAAAGAAAATATAAACACACACACACACAAAAGAAACATGCTAATATGCTGCCACAATAAACCCTACCATTCAGAGTTAGGACACCAGAGCCAAACAATGCACAAAGAGAAATGAATATTTCCTAACTCAATAAACAGGCAACAAGGATTCCTTTTTTAAAAAAAATATTGTTTTTAGTTTAACAAGGGCTGGGTGCAGGTAGTTCACACTGTAATCCTAGAAACTCAGAAAGCTGAGATCATAGGATCATTGTTCAAAGCCAGCCTGGACAGGAAAGTCCATAAGACTCTTAACTCTAGTTAACCATTTAAAAACCAGAAGTGGTGCTGTAGCTCAGAGTGGTAGAGGGCTAGCCTTCAGCAAAAAGAGCTCAGGGACAGCGCTTAGGCCCCCATGACCAACAACAACAACAAAAAAAATTAACAAGGCTTCTTTTTAAATACAGCTTTAGTGAACAGTGTAGGGTATTAAAAATGTTCTTTGGCATAAAGGTTATTTTGAGGTTATTTTGCACTTCTAGATGTAGCAGATATAAGAGGTACATTCTAACCTTCCTTTTTCTTCTGAAAGCAAGAGATAAAACTCCCAGGTGAAAAGTTCAGGGGAAAGGAAAACATTCTTAACAATAGAGACAAGCAGACAGCATTGGAGTTAGGAGAAATCTGTATAAGCCTTAAAGTAACTGTTTTCCTAGTTTTCCACAATTAGATTGTCAACGTGATTGGATTGATGAACAGTTGGAAAACTGGTAAAGCACACTTTTGGGTGTGATACTATTAGATCATGAGAGCTCTGAATGGATTAATGAGTGGATTAATACCTTGATCATTTTTTTAAATATGATGGCATTATTGGGAGGTGGTGAAAGGTTGGTGGTAGGACCTTGTTGGAGGAAGTAGGTCAATGGAGGCATGTCCTTGGGAATTATTCCTTGTCCTTGCCTTTTCCTGTATTTCCTCTTTCCACTTCAGTTATCCATTCTGCTCCACACCTGCCCATGATGTTCTGCCCAAGCGCATAAACTGAACCCTCTGAAACCATGAATCAAAATGTGTCCTTCCTCTCTTACATTGGTTTCTGCCAGGGAGTTTTGTCACCACAACATGAGAAGTACTTGAGAATGCAGTTCTCCAGCCCAAACCCCTTTGTCTTTGCATATTTTCACAATTTTCTGTTTCTTGTCCAACATACCTCTAAGCCTTTGGCCCTATTTTGGGTCTTAACTTTCTGGTGAGGACTTCTATGCACATGTAAAAATTACTAAATAAAACTTGCATATCTTTTCCTATTTGTTTTGTGAGAGTTTAATTTTTTTTAATTTTTAATTTTTTGGTTGGTTGTGGGGCTTGAACTCAGCACTTGGGTGCTGTCCCTGAGACTACCACTGTACCACTTTGAGGAAAAGTGCCATTACAGTTTTCTGGTTTCATGGCCTTTCCCATCTGGGGCTGGCTTTGAGCCATGATCCTCAAGTCTCAGCCTCCTGAATATCCAGGATCACAGGTGTGAGCCACCAGCATCCGGCTGAGAGTTTAATTCTTATATCCAGCCTCAGACCCTGAGAGGATAAAAATATTAGGTCCTGGACATACATTGATCAAATAATTATGAGTTTACATTAAATACTGAGACTGAATTATAAAAGTTGAGGGCTTTTTTCTGCTAAAATAGGTATGATTCCAAGTTTCAGTCTAGTTTAGAATCCTACCTTTTGATTGAGTTGGTACAGGAAAATTAGAGGAAGGGTTAAGTTTCATTTTGAGAGTAAAATATTAGTTTAGAGATCACCTACTCCACTTACCGCCCAGGCAAAACTCTTCCCTTATATTCAATTAGGTGAACCTCTAATCTCTACTTAAATGCTTCCATACTTTAGGAAAAGTAATTTAACATGTAATAACCTTTTCCACTTCTGTATAGTATTGAAAATTTTCTCTCTAATCTAGCTATCTGCTCCTAGCAAGAGTTTAGGATTTGTTAAATATTTTTGATGTCTCTATTATATTGGCTACTTATTTTGATTAAAACCCTCAAAACTTTATATTTAACTGCTTTTAAGCCTATTTTACCTAGATGCTTTTAAAAAAATAATCAGGTGTCACTTTTTTTCTGTAATAAATATAATTTACTTTTAACAAGTTAGTATTTTAATCTTGAATCAGTGGATATCATTTATTCTAGTTTTGGTTAGCCACAGTTAGAGAAACATCTATCTTCAGGCTGGGAAGGTGGCTCAGTGGTAGAGCGCTTGCCTTGCATGCATGAGGCCCTGGGTTCGATTCCTCAGCACTACATAAGCAAAAAGAGAAACATCTATCTTCAGGTCATCAATAAAAGTGCTCAACAGAACCCATTTTGGTGTGATCGCTCCTTCCTCTTGGAGGACCTTTCTATAAACCTCAGCCTGGAATATTCTGTCACCATGCTACTAACCTCTCTTGAATGTTCTTCTGAACTCAGATGTTTGCTCAGAGATTTCTTTCCTAGCACAAGACTAGGTGTGTTTGAATTAGTATTTTTCATCCTGTGATTATATATTTATGTGTATGACCACTGAGTCTTTTCCCTGTTGTATTGGGTGCTCCATAGTGGTAAGCACTGTTTCTCTTTCTCACTGTCATATCCCTAGAACATAAACACCAGGCACATGACACTAGTTGGCAATCAATTGTTCCTAATGATTTCATATATATGTGTATGTAGTAAAGGTCGGGATAAAGTTGAGAAGGACTTTTCTTTTAATGTTCTATTTTCAAGTTCTATTAAAATTTTCTGTTAAGCCTGGGAGAGTGGCTCAGTGGTAGAGCGCTTGCCTTGCATGCATGAGGCCTGGGTTCCATTCCTCGGCACCACATAAGCAAAAAGAATAAAAGCCGGAAGTGGCGCTGTGGCTCAAGTGGTAGAGCGCTAGCCTTGAGCTAAAGAGCTGAGGGACAGCGCCTAGGCCCAGAGTTCAGGACCCACGACTGGACCCCCCCAAAAAAAATTCTGTTAAGTTTATTGATTTTTTTGCTGGTTTATTTTTGGGAGCTGTCTGGCTTAAAATAAAAAATGTGCATCACCCTAGGTGGTTGAGATGTTATTAACCTGTGACACTCTTAAATCACTGATAGTGCATGCCAATGCCAACTCCTCTAAGCTAGGATCTCTCATTGTTTCTCTTTGGATACAGTGGCTATAAATCTACTTGGCTTATATTTAAAATGTATAATTTTGCCTTCAGAAAAAATTTTAGTAGTCTGAATCTTCCTTAAGAACTCCTTTTCATTTATCTCCTCGATAAAATTGTTGCCAGCTAGGCTTTGATTCAAAACAGTAGTCATAGTTTTTCTTCCTTTTTTTTTTTTCTTTGTACCACTATATTTTTCTCTGTCTAAGGTCATCGAGAGAATAAACTCCAAATGTGGTACATTAAATTTTGATAATCGTAAAACATTCTTATTGTAACTCATCTTAATTTTATATGGCTTTATGGTTACTTTTTAATTAAATGATAAAGCAAATTTCCTGGCAAAAATTTTCCTATAAAAACATATCCTTTGGGGCTGGGAAGGTGGCTCAGTGGTAGAGTGCTTGCCTTGCATGCATGAGGCCCTGGGTTCGATTTCTCAGCACCACATAAACAGAAAAAGCCAGAAGTGGTGCCGGGGCTCAAGTGATAGAGTGCTAGCCTTGAGTTGAAGAGTTGAGAGACAGCACCCATGCTTAGAGTTCAGGCCCATGACCAAAAAACAAACAAAAAAACAAAAACAAAAAAAATCCTTTGTTACATGATATGGATATTAATTTTAGAGAAAAAAATAGTCCTTTTTTTTTTTTTTTGCCAGTCCTGGGGCTTGAACTCAGGGCCTGGGCACTGTCCCTGAACTTCTTTTGCTTAAGGATAGCACTCTACCACTTGAGCCACAGTGCTACTTGTTTTGTTCTGTTTATATGGTACTGAGGAATTGAACCCAGGGCTTCATGCCTGCTACGCAAGCACTCTACCACTAAGCCACATTCCAGCCTGAAAATAGTAGTCTTTTATGGTTAAATGAAATAAAATTCTCTTGGAGATCTGGTTTTTAAAAATTGGATTTTCATACTCACATAGTTCCCTCAACCCCCATATTGGGGATGGAACTAAGGACCCATATGTGGTAAGGAATTGTTCAACCACTGAGTTACATCCTAGCTTCCTATCTTTGTTTTTAAAAACTAAGGAAAAAACCCTACTACTAACTATGTGACTTTGGGCAAGGTACTTTAAAAGTACATTAAACTCTTCTGTGAATACATATGACATGCTTAGAAGGATTGACACATAATGCCAGTGCCTTTATTAATGAGCATTTGTATTGAATAGGACTTGCCATCCCCACTTGTTGAGTGAATCACTGTAGGAACACACTATTCAACAGTTAGCCTAATTTTAACCAGATGTTCAGCTCTTACTATAGTGTAATAAATTGTTACTTATCAAAGGAAAAGGACTATCTAAAATAAACACATCCAATTCTTTTCTAGTCATAACACATAGAAGTGTATCTCTGAAGATTTTAGAGTAAATGGTTATTAAATGTTTTGTGGCTAAATTTTAAAGTGAGTTCAACAAATTATTGCTTTATTGATATATTGGTTGCAAATTACTAAAATAGTGATTCTACCTTTTTTTTTTCTTTTTTTTTTTGGTTGGTTGTGGGGCTTGAACTCTGGGCCTGGGCACTATCCCTCAGCTCTTCAGCTCAAGGCTAGCGCTCTAACACTTGATCCACAGCGCCACTTCTGGTTTTCTGAGTGGCTTATTGGAGATAAGAGTCTCACAGAGTTTCCTGCCCAGGCTGGCTTTGAACCACAATCCTCAGATCTCATCTTTCTAAGTAGCTAGGATTACAGGCGTGAGCCACCGGAGCCTGGCGTGATTCTGCCTTTTAACTAAGCATAGTCATATTTAGAAAACAAAATTATACAAAATCTAAATTAAAAATACCTAGAGGAATTAAAGAACAAGAGTAGTTTTCAGCTGAGCACCAATGGCTTTCGCCTATAATTCTGGCTATTCAGGAGGACTGAGATATGAGGATCACAGGCCGAGCAGGAAAGTGTCTGAGACTTGTTTTTTTTGGGTCCAGTCATGGGGCCTGAACTCTGGGCCTTGGTGCTGTCCCTCAGCTCTTCAGCTCAAGGCTAGCGCTCTACCACTTGAGCCACAGTGCCACTTCCGGCTTTTATTCTTTTTGCTCATGTGGTGCTGAGGAATCGAACCCAGGGCCTCATGCATGCAAGACAAGCGCTCTGCCACTGAGCCACCTTCCCAGCCCCAAAGTGTCTGAGACTTTTATCTCTAATTAACTAGTAAAAATCTAGAAGTGAAGCTGTGGCTTAAGCAGAATATATGGGGTTGTTAAATTATTATTTTTTTATTTTTGCCGGTCCTGGGGCTTGAACTCAGGGCCTGGGCACTGTCCCTGAACTTCTTTTGCTCAAGGCTAGCACTCTATCATTTGAGCTACAGCGCCACTTCTGGCTTTTTCTGTTTATGTGGTATTAAGGAATTAAACCCAGATCTTCATGCATGCAACTAGGCAAGGAATCTACCACTAAGCCACATTCACAGCCCAGTTAAATTATTTTTAATGTTTAAATTATATCAAATTTTTCATACTAAAAATCTTTCATTTATATGGATTTCAAAATAAAAAATAGTACACATAAATGCAATAATAACATTTTAGCTGATATTATGAGCCAGTATGGTATAATGAATATGAAAAACAGGAGCTCAGAGTTCACCTGTAGTGTATATATAAAGTCACATAGCTCCACTTTCTTATCCATAAAATAGGGCTTTAATAATGCCTACCTTTTTACACGTGACATCATATATGGAAAGCTCTTAGTTTGGAATCTTACCTGGTAAGCAGTCAAGAAATTGCTCTTAGGAAAACAAAGTATACAAGCTTCCTGTTAAATATAGTCACTTGAGAGTGTGTAGGTAGGTATGTGTGTGTCTTATTGGTTTTTGACTTGGTAGAATTAGAGATTTATTACCCTCCCAATATCATAAGTGAATCCTACTTTCTCATTTAACTATGTGATTCTGAAAAAAAGCAAATAATGTTTTACTTTAAATATATAGGTATTTAAACAAATTCTTAGGTTCATGTAAGTATACCAAGCTCTCCTAGCTCTCTACTAGTTTACTCTTACTTGTTTTTGAAGAATGGATATATTCATATTTTAATATTTAATATAAGTAACTTATAAATATATGTATATATTTGACAGAAACTATGAGAAGCAACACTCTTTCTGGATTCTAAAAGACATCCTTTCATCATGGGACAGCAAATTTCGGATCAGACACAGTTGGTTATTAACAAGTTGCCAGAAAAAGTAGCAAAACACATGACATTGGTTCGAGAAAGCGGCTCCTTAACTTATGAAGAATTTCTTGGGAGAGTAGCTGAACTTAATGATGTGTAAGACTTGTTCTTTTTAATTTTTACTTCTTGATGTTTGCTCCTTGATGTCATTGCTATATAAGAAGTAACCAAAGGTATTTGTAGTAAAAGTTAATATTAATGTAGACTTTTCTTTTATAACTGTTTTTAAAATATAAAGTAGGAGCAGAAGAGATTAAAGGATCTTAAAATGAAACTTGGAATACAGACCATGAGTATATTAAAGCAATTCTAGAATATAATACAATCCAACATCTCAACTGTATACTAACAGACTATAAGTTGACTCTTGTTTTGAATTTACAGGGTGCATAATAGAAGGGGATAGGTCAGTTAGCTACTCTAGGGAAAGACTACAATAGGCAAAAGTAAATGAAAGGCTTGTGTATATCAATTCTGGTGTGTGTGTGTGTGTGTGTGTGTGTGTGTGTGTGTGTGTGTGTGTGTGTGTGTGTGTGTGTGTGTGTGTGTGTGTGTGTGTGTGTGTGTGTGTGTGTGTGTGTGTGTGTGTGTGTGTGTGTGTGTGTGTTCCCTTGTTTTCTTATTGATACATAATTTTGCCAGAACAATACATAGATGATAGTAAGCCATTTTCATCTCTCAGAAATAATTATTTCACTTCTTCTTTCTCAGTAGTCAATACTTTTCAGTCTCTACATAATTCCTAAATTTCTTAGTAAATCCTAAATTTCTCTACCTTCTTAACAAGCATACCTAATAAAAATTTCTCTTATCTTTGTAAATGTATTCTTTATTATATCAAATTTATACTAACCTGTATAAAATATAGATACATGAAAACACATAGGGCTCTTTGTCCTTGCATTGGCTCAGACCACTACATTTTAAAATATTGTAGTTTGTTTTCTCCCATAGGGACGGGGATGGCGGGTGCTATTAAATATTAAATCTTCCTCTAACAGCAGCACTTCTACCTTTCTTTGTAGTGCATGTGTGGTGTGTGTGTGTGTCTGTGTCTGTGTGTCTGTCTGTGTGTCTGTTTGTCTTCTGTCTCTCTGTCTTCTATCTGGGGAAAATAATTAAAATATATGTATGAAGAATTAAAATGTATGTGTAAATTAAAATGTACACCTTAAAGGTTCTCTCTTTAATGTCTTCAATTTAAGCAACATTCACTGAACACTGTGCAAACAATCATGAGGGTTGGATATTTTAACTGAGGCCTAAATTAATTACCAAAGTATTAAAGGCAGATCTAACTCTTTCCAAGCCTGAAGCTCTTTTTATTACCTGTCCTGGAGAAGTAATAAAAATGTCACCTAAAAGCCCAGGACCACTAAGTATATAAATGTGTATAATGCATGTACCATTTTCCTGCACTTTATGACAATTATGTTGGATAAGAGACACCCTTTATCAAATATAATACATAAGGTAAGAAGAAAGTAGTAGTCTATATGGACATGGCTGGAGTCTACTGTTTTTAGCCAGGCATGAAGAATAAAGAACAGGTTAGCTGGGTGGCTCATCCCTGTAATTCTAGCATGGAGCAGGCTGAGATCTGAGAACTGCAGTTCAAAGCCAGACCTGGTAGAAAAATCCATGAAACTCTTAGCTCCAGTTAGCTACCAAAAAGCTAGAAGTAGAGGTGTGGCTGTGGTAGAATGCTACCCTTCAGTGAAAAAGCTAAGGATAGCAGCTCCTGAATTTAAACTCTAGTACTAGGGCACCAAAAACCAAAACAATGGACTAGAACACTTGAGATTAAACTATTCCTAGTGCTTGTTCTCTGGGTCAAGAGATAGTGAGACAAGAGGGCAGGGAGGGAGATTTTTCATGTTACTGTGTATATCTGTGTGTTGTCTGATTTTTTTCAATAAAATCTGTTTGAGTTTTAAAATTTTAATATTCTACTTTTATCCTATAAATCTTTTGCATAATTCTGTTTGAACCATTACTTCTGATATAGTCTTTGAGTGTGTGTATGTGTGTATATGTGTGTGCCAGTCCTGAGTCTTGAACTCAGGACCTGGGCATTGTCCCTGAGCTTTTTTTGCTCAAGGCTAGTACTCTACTTGAGCCACAGCTCCACTTCTGGCCCTTTGGTAGTTTATTGGAGATAAGAGTCTCATGGAAATTCCTGTTCAGGCTAGCTTTGAACCATGATCCACAGATCTCAGCCTCCTAAAAGCTAGGATTACAGGCACTGAGCCACCAGTGCATGGTGTGATTTCATATTCTTTTTTAAAATTGTTATTATAAAGATGATGTACAGAGGAGTTAAAGTTACATATGACAAATAATGAGTACATTTCTTTTTGAACACCTCAGACTGGATTTGAGGTTTTGAGTGGTTAATTTGGTTTTGCTGTCAAGGGGCCTTGTGTGTGTTCAGCAAGCACTTTGCCACTGAGCAACACCATCAGTGCAATCTAAACCAATTTCCATGAGTTAAAGTTGGGCCTTTCACAAGGGCAGCACTTTCTGACAACTGTAACGTCAAACTTACAGAGAGACAGAAATCAGAACTAGAAACTCACATAGCTGGATTCTTTTTACTGGCAGACTTTATTTTTGATGGTCTCAGAGAAATGTTAACACCAAAAAGGGAAGCTGCAATATTTAGATATGTCTTTGAACTGATTTAAATTGGTGTAGATAGTGTGATATTGAGTAATCCTCTGAAAGTATTATTTATTTATTTATTTATTTATTTTTGGTCGGGCACGGGGCTTTAACTCTGGGCCTGGGCGCTGTCCCTCAGCTCTTCAGCTCAAGGCTAGTGCTCTACCATTTGAGCCACAGCGCCACTTCTGGTTTTCTAGTGGTTTATTGGAGATAAGAGTCTCATGGACTTTCTTGGCCGGGCTGGCTTTGAACCACTATCCTCAGATCTCAGCCTCCTGAGTAGCTAGGATTAGGGACATGAGCTACTGATGCCCTTCTAAAAGTGTTATTTTTTATATTTGAAGTCTGTGACTCTTAAAATTACTCAGCTACATTTAGTATCTCAAATCATTGTTTTACTTAGTCATAACCCAAATTGACTATAAACCAAATACTTTTGAAGAGTTATAGTAATGTGGTTGCTTAAGTAGGACTCAACAAATAACAAAATACCTTGATAAGATATTTATACATATCTCAGCCATTAGTCAAAATTTAATATGTAAAATCATCTGAACTTTTTTCTTTAAGTACGAGGTTTCTTGGACTTGTTTTCCATGTCTTTAAATGAAGACAGTTGAGATGTTTTATGTTTATGTTTTAAACATTCTCTATACTGAGTTTTAAGCTAGTATTCAATAATTAGTTATTGTCCTTCATATGATTTCCTCATATTTCCTTCTCTGAAAAAATAAAACCCAAAACTTTAGCCTTTTTTTTTTTTTAAAGCAACTCTGGTGTTTGAACTCTGGGCTTCACCCTCGCTAGACAAGTGTTGTTACCAATGAGCCATACTACTAGCTGAAAGTGTGTCTTGAATCATAACTCTATTATTTTGTTTGACTTTTCATAAAATTAACAAATAGACTTGTCTCTTTTTAGAACTGCCAAGGTAGCTGCTGGCCAAGAAAAACATCTTCTCTTTGAGGTGCAACCTGGGTCCGATTCCTCTGCCTTTTGGAAAGTAGTTGTGCGGGTGGTCTGTACTAAGGTAAAACTACTAGAGGCTTCTATTTCTGGGCTTAAAATATTTTGGTGGTTGAAACCATGGTTAATAATGTAATATAATGGAAATAAATGTTAGGAATTTGATGTCTTGTAAAGCATAATTTTCATACTCTTATTGTCTGGTTATCCCTACTTGCTGTGTAACAGCTTTTTAGAGTCAAGGAGAGGAATAGTAAACTAAATTATCCTTACTTCCCATCTCTCTTTTGGAGCGTTAGCTTACTATGGAGCCCTAAGGTCCGAAGGTAATACTCTGTTTAGGTCTAAGAAGACACCTTAAAAATTAAAGTTATCTCAGGAAATAATTTATTTTAAAAACACTGAATTTCATTCATTTGAAAATCTATTAGAAAGGTGTGTTTGGGTTTGTTTTGGTGATTTTAAGTATGTATCATTAATGTACCATCTTTTAGTTTAGTCTTTACATTTCAGATAATTGAATCTATCAATTCTGCTACAAGTATAATGATATTTGTTATAGAGCATTACAAAGCCTCCTTCCTACCATACATGGGGATTCATGTAATTCCAACTACTAAGGAGATGGAAATAGGAGGATCATGGTCTAAAGCCAGTCTAGGCTAAAAGGACTGGAGGTAGAAGCATGGCTCAAGTGTTAGCCCTGAGTTCAATCCCCAGTACTGCCAAAAAAAAACCAAAAAGCCTTATCCTCCCTCCTCTGACTCAATTCAAATAAACATTCATTAACCTTTTGACACATACTGACCTTAGTATGAAAATGAAGGCACAAATTTTAGTAGGCCTTCTATCCCAACCCCTATCCTAAAATGAACGATGATACAATAAAAATAATCCGTATGCATATGTCATAAATTGAACATGAATGCTTATTCATGAGCATCTACACCTAACCAACCAAAATGTCCCTGAGTAGATTTTTCCTTTTGAGATCTAGGCTCTGAGGATTACCTAAAAAGCATGCCATATTTTCTTAGTGGGTTGTCAGTTTTATCTGTTATGTTTCAGTGTCATTTTGTTAAAGCAAAAACATGAGTGCAGGCATGCCAGGCACTAAGAATACCATATAAGATGACTAAGATCAATTCTACATTTTCAAGGAGACTGTACTTAATGTTCAGGTCCCTTGTGATTCAGCTAGAATCTGTTTTAATCTCCACACCTTCAGACTCTTCTAATTTATGTTGCTGTGAAATAGCCTTTCTAAAGCACAACTCTCATCACCTCATTGCCTTGTTTAAAATTCCTCTACATTCCTCATTGCCTTCAAAATCTTCTTTACTTCCTAATTCAAGGCCATCTACAATGTAGCTACAAACTATTTTTTATGCTTTTTTTCACAGCTATTTCCTTTTATATACTACATTTTTACCAGTCCTAGTGAATTAAGCTGTTATGTTTCCATTTCAGTCCCTCCACTTAGTGAGTTCCCTCAACTAGAATGTCTATTATTTCTATCATTTAAGTTGACATCAACTACAAGTTACAGAAGATTCCTATTAAACTAGTTTAAACACAAACTATTTATTTTCTCACTTATCAGGAAATCCTGAAATAGACAGGCTTCGGGATTGGTTAAAGACAAAGACCCAGCAAAGAAATACAAATCAAAACAACATTGAGATTCTACCTCACCCCAGTTAGAATGGCTATAATCAAGAACTCTAATAACAACAGATGCTGGAGGGGATGTGGACAGAAGGGAACCTTACTGCATTGTTGGTGGGAGTGTAAACTTGTTCAACCACTTTGGAAAGCAGTATGGAGGTTCCTCAAAAGACTCCACATAGAGCTCCCCTATGACCAAGCAATCCCACTTTTGGGCATTTACCCAAATGATCACAAACAAGACCATACTAAAGCTACCAGCACAATTATGTTTATTGCAGCATTATTTACCATAGCTAAGATATGGAACCAACCCAGATGTCCCTCAGTAGATGAATGGATCAAAACAATGTGAGATACATACATACATATATATATATATATATATATATATATACACACACACACACACACACACACACACACACAATGGAATTCTATGCCTCCATCAGAAAGAATAACATTGCCCCATTTGTTAAGAAATGGAAAGACTTGGAAAAAATTATATTAAGTGAAGTAAGCCAGGCTCAAAGAAACATAGGTCCCATGGTTTCCCTTATTTGCAATAACTAGTGTATGTCAGGGACAAACAGAAAAGGTCAGATAAGATGATGTTAAGTGAAATGAACCCCAAGATAGGGACACAAATGGTTTTTTTTTTCTTCCTTGCTATTCTAACGTATTTATAAGGTACCATGTGATTTTTTGTTTTGTTTTGTATGTTCCTCCCCCACCATACAACCGCTATTTTCACTGTATTTGATGTTGGTATAATTTGTGGAGGGGAAGAGAAAAAACAAATTGTTTAAATAGGAATACAGGTGGACCCATTGCAACAATGAGATGTACAAGACGCTATGTCGAAAAATGAACTTTACCACTTAGGCGGGGGGGGGGGGGGGGGGGGGGGGTGGAAGGGGTAGCTGAGGAGGTGGGAGGGAAGAGGGGATGGTAGGGGAAAAACAAAGGAGGAAGCAACAATGCTGGATAAGAAATGTACTTATTACCTTGCTCATGTAACTGTAACCCCTTTGTACAGTATTATCACAATAAAAAACTTAACTTTTAAAAAAAAAGAACAAGGAAGTGGCGCCATGGCTCAAGCGGTAGAGCGCTCACCTTGAGCTGAAGAGCGCAGGAACAGAGCCCAAGCCCAGAGTTCAAGCCCCATGACCGACCAAAAAATAAATAAATAAATAAATAAAATAAAATAAAAAAAAGAACAAGAAACTAAAAAAAAAAAAGACCCAGCATAACTCTCTGTGCAACCCATTGGTCAATGTTAAGACACCTGTACCCTGGCTGGAGGACTGTGCTTACCATGATTAGTTTTGGTTAGATTGACCAGATTGACTCTTGAATTAGTTAGAAAGTGAATACCAAAATAAAAGACTACTGGCAGCCAGGTGCCAGTGACTCGTGCCTGTAATCCTAGCTACTAGGAGGCTGACATCTGAGTATCACAGTTTGAAACCAGCCCAGGCAGAAAAGTCCATGAGACTCTTACCTCCAATTAATCATACACATACAAAAAAAAAAAAAAAAAGGCTGGAAATAGAGCTGTAGCTCAAGTGGTAGAGAGCTAGCTTTTAGCAAAAAAGCTAAGAGAGAATGCCCAGAGCTGAGTCAAGCCCCAGGACCAGAGTGCAAGTGCACAGTGCACACATGCGCAAGAGCACATGTAATAAAGTTAAACCAGACACCCACGGCTCATGCTTCTAATCCTAGCTACTTATCTTCCACTACTCTTGATTTCTCTCATTCTATTCGTGCTTCTCTCCAGGTGCACTTCCACTGAACAGCTTTTATTCTTATTCTCTGAGTCTGAAATGATCATTTCCCTTAAATGGCCACTTGTGACTCACTTTACTGTGAGGTCTCCTCTGTACCTCAGTTTCCCTTCTCTCTTGTTTCATCTTTATAACACTGCTTTTCATCTAACTGAATCCACTTTTTTTTGGGTCTGTCTCTCCTCCCTGTCATGAAACTTGATGGGGGGGAGGTGGTGAATACACTATGTTTTTAAGTACCTAGAGCAGTACACATAGTGCATGTACCACCTAAATTGTGGGTACTCAATAAATTTAATAACAAGGGTTCTATGATTAGAACAGTTATAGGGTGATAAACTTTACTAATATAGTACTAAGCTTGTATGAATTACTTATAATTTGCTCTAAATTACACAATTCTAAAGGAACTTCCCTCAACTATAAAGACCTATTTCAGAGCCTATGTAAATTCCTGTCACATTAAGAATGTTATATAGGGCTGGGAAGGTGGCTCAGTGGTAGAGTGCTTCCCTTGCAGGCATAAGGCCCTGGGTTTGATTCCTCAGCACCACATAAGCAGAAAAAGCCAGATATGGTGCTGTGGCTCAAGTGGTAGAGCACTAGCCTTGAATGAAGAGTGGAGGGACAGTGCCCAGTCTCAGAGTTCAGGCCCCACAACTGTCAAAAAAAAAAAAAAAAAGTTATACGTTTGCATCTTCACACAAATCTGATCTTCACAAAATTTAACCAACTTTCTGATTATTAGAGGTGATTCTCAAAAGGAATGTGGCTTATTTTTTATTTTTAATTGCTTTTTCCAATGCTAAAACAATAAATAGTAATAACTATTGTTTTTATTCCAAATATTTGTGTTACTGTAGTATCTTTTAATATAAAATCTGCTTGGGGAAGGTGCTGTCAGTCGTGGGGCTTGAACTCAGCCTGGGTGCTGTCCCTCAGCTCTTTAGCTCAAGGTGAGCACTCTACCACTTGAGCCATAGCGCCACTTCCAGTTTTCTGGCGGTTAATTGGAGATAAGAGTCTCACAGACTTTCCTGCCCAGGCTGGCTTTGAACAGTGATCCTCAAATCTCAGCCTTCTTAGTAGCTAGGATTAGAGGTATGAGCCACCAGTGCCTGGCTTGTTTTTAGTGGTATTTTAACAACATTTTGCTAGTAAATTTTGTAGTGTATTCTTCTTGTTTTAGTTTAGAAGTTTTGCTATAAAATAGATCTTAAGGGTACTCAAGAAAGTATCCCATTATGTTAAGTCCTAATTAATAAATTATTGGCTGAGCCTGGAGACAAACACACCTGGAACCCAAACAATCAAGAAGCTGAAACAAGAGGATCATGAGTTTGAGGCCAGTTTGGACTATGTAACAAGACTGTCTCAAAAACAAGACAGAATGAAGAGGAAAAAAAAAATGAGAAATTAAAGTGGAAAAATTAAAGTGAGTTATCAATACTGGTCTCTAAACCTCATTTCTTAGCCCAGGAAAGTCATCTAATAACTTCATTGACACTAAACAAAAGGATTCCTAATCAACTTTTTTTTATGACTTAAAATTTTTTTAAATTTTATCTTCTTGTAAAGATGCTATACAGAGAGGTTACAGTTATGTCAGTAAGCTAATGAGTACATTTCTTATTGTTACCCCCTCCTTTGTTTTTCTACTACTATCTCTTCCCTCCCCACTCAACTTTAAAAGGATAAGTTGAGTATCTATCTATCTAATGAGATGCATTTGTATACGTTCTTTGAACCCCACAATGAAGGCAACATGATATTATGCATTTATTCAGACTCTTATTTTTTAAGGTAGTTTACAAACCATAAGCCTCTATTGAGTATTGGATTCCTATTGAATCTTTGTTCCCCTTTTGTTTTTTCATTGTCTTTGTACTTTTAGATTAACAAAAGCAGTGGCATTGTGGAAGCATCACGGATCATGAATTTGTACCAGTTTATTCAGCTTTATAAAGACATAACAAGTCAAGCAGCAGGAGTGTTGGCTCAAACCTCCACCTCTGAAGATCCTGGGGAAAACTCATCCTCTGTAACATCTTGTCAGGCTAGTCTTTGGATGGGAAGGTATACAGTGCATAATTCCTATTTTACTTATTCTCCAATATGTAAAATATTGGAAAATCTGAAATCTCAGATCTTTTTGTCTCAGTTGGTATTATAGCCCAGATCAGCTTTTAGATTATTCTGTCAGTCCATTCACTTTTGTTTTGGGGTTTTTTGTTTATTTGTTTGTTTTTTGTGCCAGTACTGGAGCTTGAATTGGGGCTGGGAGTTGTCCCTTAGTTTTTTGCTCAAGGCTAGCACTCTACCACTTGAGCAACAGCTCCATTTCTAGCTTTTTGGTAGTTAATTGTAGAGCAGTCTTTCGTGGATTTTTCCTGCCCAAGCTGGCTTTACACCATGATCCTGAGATCTCAGCCTCTTGCATAGCTAGGTGAGCCCCTACTGCTTTGCTTCCATTCATTTTATATTGCCAAATTAAACCTAAACATAAGTGGCTCTTAACTAGACAATGTTTCTGTCAGCCTGATCTCCACAAATCTACTCTCTATATGCTGACATTTAATGACAAAGAAAATATTAATACCCCCTTTTTAGTAAGTATTAGGTTCTTAGCCAGAATTATTTAAAGAGTGAAGTCCAAGAAGTGACAAAATCATTCCAAAAAGTGACTAATTGAAGGTTAAATATTTAAATATTGGATCTAGGACGTGCAGTCCATTCAAGAATCAGCAAATCATTGGTGCATAGATTGCATGTACTAAGTTACCAAAAGAAAATTAAGTCTGGGGCTGGGAAGGTGGCTCAGTGGTAGAGCGCTTGCCTTGCATGTCTGAGGCCCTGGGTTCGATTCCTCAGTACCACATAAGCAAAAAGAAAAAAGCCGGAAGTGGCGCTGTGGCTCAAGTGGTAGAGCACTAGCCTTGAGCTGAAGAGCTGAGGGATAGCGCCCAGGCCCAGAGTTCAGGCCCCACAACTGGACCCCCAAAAAAAAAAAAGAAAGAAAGAAAGAAAATTAAGTCAGCCAGAGTTTTCTGGAATGGTGCTTGTTTACTGAGATCTAATATTACATTATTATCTAACTAAACTTTCTTTTCCTTCTCTGTTAACCTTTAACATGTGAAAGTTCCTATTTGTGGCCATTTGACTGTCATGACACTAAACTTATAAATATCTCATTGGAAAAGAAAAACTTAGGTTAGCGCAGACATGCTGACATCTTGTCTTACTGTCATACTCAGTAAATAGCAGAAATCTATAATGACACATGTCCTTTAAGGTTAAGAAGTGTTTAACAAGAATTTCTCTTTTATTGCTTGATTTACAGTTGCATTTTCTAGTTCATTTTAGCCACCTGGTTTCCAAGTATTATGTTAGTTAAATTATATTTTCAATTTATGATTTTCTATTAATCTTTAATAATTTTCAAGGTTTGGGCTAAACAGGTAATACTGTTGACCAAATGAGACTTAGAACATTGTAGGCAGTATTTAGGCTTATCTTATTTGAAAGATCCATTTCTCAAAGAGATCTAATATTCCATTTTTTCTACTCCCTCTTTAGACTGGTGAGATTTTTTTTTTGTTTTTTGGGTCCGGTTGTGGGGCCTGAACTCTGGGCCTGGGCGCTGTCCCTCAGCTCTTCAGCTCAAGGCTAGCGCTCTACCACTTAAGCCACAGCACCACTTCCGGCTTTTTTCTTTTTGCTTATGTGGTGCTGAGGAATCGAACCCAGGGCCTCGAGCATGCAAGGCAAGCACTCTACCACTGAACCACCTTCCCAGCCCTGGTTTTTTTTTTTTTTTAAGTGTTCTAAAAGCTAAGGATGGTGTTTTCCCATATGTTCAGGCCATATAGTGGCAAATGTTTTTCTTGTTGCAGTTACCTTAATGAAAGTGGCAAAAGTATCTCTTTCATGTGCCCTTGATATTGGGAAACTCAGTGCCTGTTAAGACTGCTATGTGCCTTCCTGTACTTTTTGGTTTTTAATGCAACTCTGATACACTGGTTAATAGAAAAAGACCTTTCAAATGGAAGAGGATTTTAGGAGGCCTTTAGGAGGCCCAGCTGTATATCTGATGCATAATTTTATTAATAGCTTATATTTTTTGTACTTTTACAGATTATTAAAATTATGATAAACTCATTAAATACAGTTCCTTGTGAATAAAATTATTGGTCCATGTCAGGTGAAGAAATATGTATAGACAAATAAATATCATACCATATAATTAGAAATGGATCTAAGTAGGACTCACATTCAGGCTTCTCAATGCACTCATGTTCCAACCTCTGCCTTACAATTTTCTAGTTCATAAAGATCTTACAGTACTGTGCTACTCAGACTTTTAGTAGTTTTGCAGAAGAGCCTGAGATTCTGTCAAGCTCCAAGGTGGTGCAAATGCTGCTGATGCTTGGATAACACTTGGGGTGAGCAAGACTCATTCGTATTTTGCCATAGAGCCCAACTTGAACTTTGCAAGTTAAGACTACTGCTAGCCCCCCCATGCATGCACACAGTTATATGAGACTCACTACCATCGACAAGTTTGTATTCATGCTCAGATGATTCTAATTACTGTGAAGTTTTCCATTTTGTCTTGTAATTGTTAGTCCTCGATATCTGGCTCTTTAATGGCAACACAAGCATAGACTAGAACCAAGTTGTGTTCAAATTCTAGCTCTACTTTTGCCTCAGTTGATAAGAGATAGTAATGCATCTGTGTATGCATCTGTAGAATGATCTCAGTGCAACCCCCTTGTACTATCAATATATGCTGATAAGTAAAATGTATTAAAAAGTTGAGATACTTAAGACTAAGCCAGTCCTTCATTTCTGTCAAGATCAGCATAGTAAGACCCTGATACAGGCCTTCAAGCAGCTTTCATCTTATATAATGAATACATTATGTGCTGGTTGAATTCATGTATTTAATATGATTAAAAGTGGGCCAAGTTATTTTCAGAAAGACCTGAATATTTCCAGTTTCTACCCAAATTCTGTTTAACCAGTCTTTATGAATCTTACCTCTCCTAAGTGTTTCTTTCCTAATGTATTTGTTATTCCTAGAAGGTATTACTTTTAGTCTGGTATTAACTTTTGCACATATTGTGCTTTATCCCCTGGATGTTCCATAATGCTTTTAAGGCAATGAAAACAAAGTAGGAAGCATGGACAGAAAATATCATTGTTCCAGCTCTGTTTTCACATCACAGGGTGAAGCAGCTGACTGATGAGGAGGAATGTTGCATTTGTATGGATGGTCGAGCTGATCTCATCCTGCCCTGTGCTCACAGCTTTTGTCAGAAGTGTATTGATAAATGGTAAGTTATCTGCTGCCTCTGGGGGTAGGCAAAGAGTATGTGGGACATAGTATTTGAATAAACTTTGAAAAGTACAAAACTGTAGTATTAGATACGAGAGATTCTTATTCTTTAGTATAAGAAATTTTATGACATGCTTCTTTTATTTTGTTTTCTTATCTTTAAGAGGTTGTTCAAAGGAGCTGCCATTTAACAAAGCAGTTTATGAATATAATATGTTATCACATGCTTCTTACTTGTTACAGATATTTTTATCTTTATACCTAAAGTTCATAAAATGTGGTCATATAGCTTGGCTTGATACTCCTGCTGCAAAAAATTTGTGCCTAATTTAGTCTAGTCTTTTCCTTTTTCTTCCTTTTTTTCCTCTTCATTTCTATATTTATTCTTGGTATGTATTTAGAAGGCGTAAATCTTTGCTCTAGAGGGAATGTCAGAGATCAATTAGTCAAGCTCATCACTTTATAATAAGAATTGAGCACTCAGGAGAATTTATAATCAATATACAATAATTTAACATATACACACACCCATTAAAAACTACATCACCATCAAGATAGTCAGCAATCCCACCTTCCAAATTACCTTGTGCACTATTGTAAAATGCAAAGCCTCCAAACACCCTATTTCTAAGGCAACTACTAATGGCTTCCATTTCTAAAAGTAATTTGAATTTTCCAGAATTTTTATGACAAATCATACAGGATCTACTCTTTTTGTTTAGCTTTTTTTATTCACTAAAACTATCCTGAGATTCAGTCACATTGTAGATGTAGATAAATTACACATGAAAGCTCCATTATTCATTATGGACATATATTTTTATGATCATATGAGTTTTTCCCTTATGGTAAATACCTACAGGAATATGGTAAGAGGTTTAACATTACAAGAAATTACCAATTCTTTCCCAAAGCAGTTGTATCTTTTTCCAAACACTGTTATAAGCACTGTATAAGAGTTACAGTTGTTCTACATCTTTGCCAGTATTGACATGTTCCAGTCTTTGTAGTTTTAGCCATTCTAATCGGGTTGTAGAGTAACTCATTTATGATTCTAACTTACATTTCCCTGCTGACAGATATAACATTGAAAAACATATCACATGCTAATACACCATCTGTATGTTCTCTTTGGTGATATGTCCACTTAAACCTTTGCCAGTTTCTTTATTGAGAGTCCCTTACATATACTTTAGATACATGTGATTTATCAGGCACAGTATATGATTTGCACATATTCCATTCTGTGGCTTATCTTGTCATTGTCTTAAGAATGTCTGAGAGCTGGGTGCCAATGCCTCATACCTATAATCCTACTATTCAGGAAGCTGAGATCAGAAGATCACAGTTTGAAGCCAGCCTGGGCAATAAACTTTGTGAGACTGTCTCCAGTTAAACAGTAAAAAGCTGGAAGTGGAGCTGTAGCTCAAGTGGTAAAATATGAGCCTTGAGCAAAAAAGCTGAGACAGCACCTAGACCCTGAGTTTAAGCACACCAGGGACAAAAAGAAAAAAAAAATGTCTTTGAGAGAATAAAAGTTTTTAATTTTAATGAGATTCGATTTATTACTTTTTGATTTTGGGGTAATAAAAGTTAAAAAATGATTTGCATTCCTCTGTGTCATGACCTCTAGCTGCCTTGGGCTCTTGAGTGTCTGGGTTATCTCTTCAGCCCTGCCAGTCTACTAGGCTTTTGGTAGATTTCGTTTTCTTGCTCCAGGGCTGGAAACTCATCAAGCAGTAAGCTTGGGCTAATATAGGGCTTTCTTGGCTTTTCACCTCTTAGGACTCACTGTCTTTCTTGCTTGATGTTTTGTGCACCAAAGAGCATATTATCTTGTAAAATATCTTGAAAAATACATGCAGGCTCTAGCTTTCATATTCAGTTTTAGGATAAATTTCTATTTATGTAAAAACCAAAGAGCTGTTGATAAAATTTGATTACTTTAGTTGCAGATTGGGAGATGAGGAGAAAAACACTACACTTTTTCCTTACATAATGTACTTCTAGCTTGTTAGAATCCTTCATGACCATCCCAGGGGACCAAGCAGAGGTAGGCACATACAGGAGAAAGATTATTATAAGGTTTATTAGAGGAGCCTTATCTACCCTGGGAGAGGAAGCACATGGCATCTGCCCCTATTCAGGTGGCAGGTAGCTCTGGGGCTGGTAATGGGGTAGGTGTGCTTGCAGGTAGGTCTAGGCAGAGAGAGTGAGTGGCCAGCTGTATGGAACTCTAGGGCAGGGAGGAGCTCAGGTCTGGATGGGGGTGGGGATAATGCTAACATAGCTCAAATATGGTATTTAAGTTTCCACAGTAATATTTGACCCAAAAAACCTTTAGAAAACAAAATTTTATTAAATGATTATATGTGTATTCTTTCTCAATCAGAAAAATTATCCTGCATATAAATTTCATCTCATTTTGAACATTGCTTCATTTTTGTACAGTTCTTCTTGTCACTTATGGACCAGGGGATTGGTCAGAGACCTTTCAGAGACCTCTAAAGCATAGTTCTATTTTTTGAGAGCCATGTAGGTATCACTTAGAAAGTTAACTGATAAGGACTGGGAATGTGGCTTAGTGGTAGAGTGCTTGCCTAGCATTCATGAAGCCCTGGGTTCGATTCCTCAGTACCACATAAATAGAAAGAGCTGGAAGTGGCACTGTGGCTCAAGTGATAGAGCTCAAGCCTTGAGCACAGAGAGGCTCAGGAATAGAGTCTAGGCCCTGAGTTCAAGCCCCGGAAGGAAGGAAGGAAGGAAGGAAGGAAGGGAGGAAGGAAGTTTACTGATAAAACTCTTCCTTGCTGTATTATTCCCCTTCCTAGAGCAATGGCTTCCATTTAAATTCAAAAATATTTACACTTCACACTTTGATCAAATCTCCATTGGTAAGAACGAGTTGCCTTTTAGGATTCATAAGGAATTTTATTATAAGGGGAAACTTCACCTATTTGGGAACAGGGATAAGATTTAATGTTAGTGCTTGTGGTAGCAAAAGACGGGGAAGAACTGAAATATACTTCTATAAGAGACTAGTTAAATAATGAATGGCATGTCCAGATAGTATATGTTTAAAAAGAATAAACTTAAGCCTTGTGTGATGGTACACACCTGTAATCCTACCACTTGGAAAACCAGTTTGAACTACATAGAAAGACTATCTCAAGGGGAAAAAAAAAAAAGAAAAAACTCTTAATATGTGCTGATCCATAATAGTCTACAAATATAGACAATATAAATATCAGAAAGATATACACACAGACACACACATGTACATACACATATTTACAGGCTTGATCATGTTTATTCTGTGTAAGAAACTGAAATTGAGAGGTTTTCATTGGATACATTTATGCTGTTTTTCTAAAGCCATGTACGTGTATCATTGTTCTTTTTTTTCCAAAAACAAAAGACAAAAAACCTTTTTAAAAAAGAGGGAAGGAAAACAAAGTGTTTTTGTTTTAACAGGAGTGACCGACACAGGAATTGCCCCATTTGTCGCCTACAAATGACTGGAGCAAATGAATCGTGGGTGGTGTCAGATGCACCCACTGAAGATGATATGGCTAACTATATTCTTAACATGGCTGATGAGGCAGGCCAGCCCCATAGGCCATGACTTTAGGGGATGAGTTTCTCTGGATATTGTAGGCTATGAATACATTGGCAACATGGTGGGACATCGTGGCACTGGTGCAGAAAAACTAATTTTCTCACCCTCCTATTTTTGCTATACTGAAAATATGCCCCATTTTTTAAAAAGTAAACTTCCTGTGTCTTCCATTTATGGTAAGCCAAAATTTGCTACTGTTTTAGACCATATTTTCCTATTATTTATCTGTTCTAATGTATATTGGAACAAATTGCTCTTGAATCCTTTGCTAACCGAAAATAGCAATATTTCCAGAGGCTTTTGATTCACTACTGTTTTTCAGGGAAGTATTCTGGCCTTTATTTAGATAGAGTTAAAGTAAATTTGGAAAATTGCTGAAAAGTTGTAGTCATCTGAAAAAAAATTTTGAATGACTGAAAAGGTAAGCTACATCAAAGTGCAAACTCAAAAGCTAGTCTTTCTGCTGGAGACAAAGGAGTATGCCCCCCTTGTGGTTAATTATTGCTCCTTTAGTAGTTTTTACTTAAAAAGAGTCACAGTGCTTTCATACCTTTAACTTCATCAGTGTATTCTGAAACACAAATTTCCCATGATGTATAATTTGGATAAAGACTGTAAAATTGGGACTTTGCTCTGTAAATGAATTTCTGCTGGAAAGTCTGTTGTGGAAATGTATTCTTAAAGCTGACTGTTTTGATTGGGTTTTGAAGGCTTGCTCATCTTGGGTTTTTCAGAAGGAAACTTTCCTTCACAAATTCTTTTGTATTTTCAGATCATAAGTTATTTGATGCTTATGAAGGTTTCAGATTCTTCAGATTTATTAGATTAAAAGAAAGGAAAGTGAAGTGGTTTTTCTACCATATGTATGTATAGCATCTCTGAAAAATTGATGGTTTGGCTTCTACTGCTCCACTGTACACCTGTGAAAGTCTCTAAAAAGGATATAATAATATTTTCTGTAACACTCAACCATGTTTTTAGATTTTACTTATGAAGTAAAAATTTTAACATTAATGTTTTATTATATATTAAACTAGGCCATGATGTCATCTTTAAAAAATATTTTAACACTTCACATACATTTTCTGACTTACTACCAGTAAGTTGAAAACACTGTTTTCCTAATACTAAGGTACACAATTTAAGTTGCTGCTTATTGGTAAAAATTTGGGAATAAGATTTTAATGGGTTTGTAAATAAGATAAAAAAAACTGTATCAAGGAAGAAAGATCTAATGGCATTCATGAGGAGACAGTAAAAGGTACCAAATAACTAAATACTTTCTATAGGGTGTTAATGCAAGCTGAGTATTTGGGTCTGTTGTATCAACCTTGCAACGCGCTGGGTGATGATGTGAACTTGAAAGCCCCTCTTGGTAGATTCCTCCTTTAGAAGTTTTTATCTTTGGTTTTCACATTATTCCAGCAATTTTGCAACATTGTTTGCAAGGTAATTTTTAGAACCCATATACACAAGTGCATGCATACACTCTACCCCCCATATAGTCATTTCATTCTGTAACCTTTATGTACACAATGACAAAATATTAAGTCAACCAATGAAAACATAAAAATGCATGGGTAATATGCTATATATTTGAATTTTTGTCATGCAAAACCCCAAACTTATAATACAAGTTTTCATATCCCTGAATCCTCTCCATTGATTCTTAGTCTGCTGTAGGATATATTTTGAAAAATCTTGTGATAAGTGGTCCTCTGAAATGTTTTCCAGCTCTAAAAATTTGAATTGTCCTTTTGGATTAGACTGCTGAGTTTAATTCAGATTGCCTAAATTTAAAATGTTTCTGAAAATGAAGAACACAGATTTATAGGGTTTGGATCTTTAAAGCCAAGGGTTTTACTCCTCAGAATTCACCTTTGAAGGATTAAACAGCAAGTGCAGTGACTCGATATTGCCCACATCTTTTATCTTACAATATGAGCTCCAAGACTAACTGATCTACTGTGAATTATATAATTTTTATTATCCTTGTGAAATAAATGAACATGGTTGTTTGTTCATTAAACTGGGTGATAATTCTTTAGATGTATGAATATTAAGTAGGTTCTACTATATCTAATTATAAAAGTTGTAAATGTGTTTAATGGATAAAATGTACATTTTTTCTATTCTGTACAGCTTTGTCTTTTTAAAATATGAAATACTTAAATGCATTACTTTGATAGGAAATATGTGTGCCTTCTAGGACTGTGAAATGTTCTCATGTTTGTAAGTTATAGTTTTCCCTATCCTAACTCAGTAACAAAGGATTTCTCATGATGTAGTTTGAGAAAATTAGTTTGACTACATCCTGAATTCAGAGGTTAAGAATACTGTTCTCTCTTATTCTTAGAAAATGACAAATTGTTCAATAAATGATCATTAGCAAGTAAGTTTTACCTAATTGAAGGCCTTTATTTTATATTCTTTATACTAAATATTTATATTCCTGGGAGGGTTGTGATGTTTGTGTACTATAATTTGAAATTCATTTCAAATTGAGTTTAATTCCCATAGATCATATATGTGTATACATGTTTGGGTTTTGGGTTTTAGGGTTGCTTTGTTTTGTATTCCTTATTGAAGCTTACTTTCTTAGTAATAAGAAAATACTTGGAAGGTCTGAGGGAATGGTTTAAATGGTAGGGTTCTTGTCTTGCATGTGGGAGGCCCTGGCTTCAATCCCCAGTACCTCAAAGGAAAACAAAATGACTTGGAAATTAGGGAGATCAGCTGATCACCCACATTAATGGTGGGCAACACAATGACACTATAATAGAAACATTTACTAATAGACTTTTGTTATCATGTCTTCTTAACCTATTGGACAATTAAAAATGGATAAAATACTCCACCCTGTGGTAGTTTTGTGTTTTTCTTGTAAAATTATTTCCATGATTTAAGAATGTAGAGAAACATTCTAGAATCTTAGTGTTAAGAGGAAAAAACATGTATAAGAGTAAGAGGCAAGCCTGGTGACAGTGGCTCACACTTGTAATTCTAACCGCTGGGGAGGCTGAGATTTGAGAAATGTATTTCAAAGCCAGCCTGCTTTATCTCCAATTAACCACTTAAAATCCGGAAGTGGCAATAGTGCTTAAAGTGGTGAAGTGCTAGCCTTGAGCAAAAGAGCTCAGGGTTTGGGTGCAGTCTCAGAGCTCAAGCCCCATGACTGACCCCCAAAAAGTGGGGGAGGCAACATATTCAGACTTGCTGATGGTTTGGGGTTGGTTGGGAGTGGGGGAGGTTGCTTTTTTGTTGTTGTTGTGGGGCTTGAACTCTGGGCCTGGGCACAGTCCCTGAGCTCTTCAGCTCAAAGCAAGCATTCTGCTACTTGAGCCATAGCACCACTTCCAGTTTTCTGGTGGTTTGTTGGAGGTAAGAGGGTCACGGACTTTCCTCCTAGCTTTAAACAATGATCCTCAGATCTCAGCCTCCTAAGTAGCTAGGATTACAGGCATGAGCCACTGGTGCCTGGCTTCAAATTTGTTGATGTTATATCATCATTGTACTGTGAAAAAATTCACATTTTTATCAAAATTCATAAAAGCTAGGTTCCAGAGGCTCATGTCTATCCTCCTAGCTAATTGGGAGACTACAGAGTTCCTAGGAAGATTAGTTTGAAGCCAGCCTGAGCAGAAAAAGTTGCAAGGCCCCTTCTTAACTTACAGCTGGGTATGGTGGCTTGTACCTGTCCACTTAGCTTTGTGGGAGGCTGAAACTGGGAGGATAAAGGTTTACCTGTTATCCTTGCCACAACAGGAAGTCAAAAAGTAGTTGGAACAAACCGGCACCAGTGGCTCAGCCACTCAGGAGGCTGAAATCTGAGGATCAAAGTTTGAAGCCAGTTCTGGCAGAAAAGTCTGTTACTCTCCAATTGAAATTAACTTCCAGCAAAAAGCTGGAAGTGGAGCTGGGTCTCAAGTGGTAGAGCACTAGCCTTGAACAAAATAGTTCAGGGACAGAACCCAAGCCTTGAGTTCAAGCCCCAGGACCGGCAAAAAAAAATGTTGGACCATGGTCCAACTTTAAAAACCCAGACCTCAACTTAAAATTTTCCATCTCAATAAAGGACTAGAGATGTGGCAGTAGAGCACCTGCCTAGCAAACAGGAGGCCCTGAGTTCAAAATCACCAAAAGGAAAAAGGGTGCTGATAAGGCCATATCTGTAATCCTAGCTACTCAGAAGCTGAACTCTGAAGATCATAGCTTAAAAGCCAGCCCAATAATACAAATCTGACTCATTTCCTATTAACATGCAAAAAGCTGGAAGTAGAAGCATGGCTCAAATGGTAAAGCACCAGCCTTGAGCAGAAAAGTTAAGCAATAGCAATGAGGCAATGCAGGCAAGCCCTAGCACCATCTCTCTCTCTCTCTCTCTCTCTCTCACACACACATACACGACACTTAAACCTTACATGTATTTTGTTAATCATGTACTTGTAGTCTATTTGTAGTCTTACTATCTTGTCTTTCTCTTACTAGGAACCTCTTTAGAGGCTGAGGGTATAAAAATTTCCAAGAAGCTGTTGTATATCTGTGACCTGTGTTCCTTTTATTGGATTTATACTTACCCTTTATACCAGTCACAGGTCATTCACAACATTTAGGTATACATAACCATCAGTGTACTTCATTTGTGTCTACAAACCCAGGAAAAGATGAATATTGTTTCATCGGGGTACTCCTCAGGAATAAACAGTAAGCCAGCAGGATGTGCTTTCCCTCTGCTTTAATCCAAGAGAAAGTAAAGGTCTGGGAATAGGCTCTGATAATTCCAACCCAGGATCTGCATCCTGTGTTAGACAAAGAGCAATGATGATTGTTTCCACAGTACATTTTGAACATACAAAACAAACTTAAGGCCTTTGGAGTAAGAGAGAAAACATTGCCTTGAAAACCATTTCTTTAGAAACCTGGGTCAATAACTTGGTGCCAGTGGCTTATGATTGTAATCCTAGCTACTCAGGAACTGTGATGAGGATCATCACAGCAAACCAAAGAGCAGGGATCATCTAACAGGCTCATAAAAAGTGATTTAATGAGAGTTCGAAGTGCTGGAAAAAAAGTGTCTATAAAGCTTGTAGGACAGGCAAAAATCACACAAGTTGGGGAGCCAACAAAACAATAGCCAAAGGAAAATAAATGAAGATGGATGACAACTATTAATAGCAGAAGTTAGAGGTCAGTAAGCTTTGGCTTGTTTTCCTAGTGAATATCATCTACGCCTTAGCCTTAGTAAAAGTAAGTTAATTGTTATTAATAGTTTTCATTATGCTCAATTGCAAAGAATAAAAACTTAGAACACTTAAGACACTAACTTTAAATTGTTATAAATTATTGGGTCATAGTCCTAGTAGATTTTATTTAATAATTTTTAAAAATATTTGATACAGGTAGAATGACAATGAAAAACTGTACAATTCTTTCTATGTTAGAGCAAATATATACAAATGGAGGCATTTCAAAAATAATCCCTAAGATGATGTCTTTTTATTCAATGTCACAAGTAGCTGTATAACATAGCATATATAGTTTCCCACTAAAAAGATGATATTTATACTTCCATATGCTAAACTGACCATTGGAGGGGGAGGCATGACACAGGACAAGACAATCTGAAATGAAGTAAGCATACCCCAAGCAAAATTGGGTGTCTTCAAATTCAAAATGGTTAGATAGAAGGTCCATGAGAAGCTTGTTAAGTACTCAGAGCTTATATACTTGCTGAAAGAGAAATTAATCCAGTTATTCCATGTGCATTTGTTGAGCACCTACTATGTGCCAGGCTCTAATTACAACAATGAAGAGTACATTGACAAAGCTTAACTTCAGACTGGACTTCAAAAATGCTTTCTACCTGGCCTGGGGGCCACTATTTTCTGAAGGAAATTTTATAGTGAAGAGAGATTTTTACCTTTAAAATAAAATGCGCCATGTTACAGGATTCTTATTGTTATTGTTCAGTGTAGTATTTGTGATACCTAGTAGAATAGTGAGCAAAGAGTGAATTGGGAATAGGAAAACTGAGTTCTAATCCTGTTGTCATCAATTGTGTAACTTTAAGCAAATGACACTTCTCTGACATAACTCTGAATAGGTAAAAGGCTAATTGGATTATAAATTGTAGGATACTGGAGTGAAAGGTACAGACCATATGGTCCTGTGCTTTTCAGAATCCTTCATTCAAGTGAAAATATTAACAGCTCTAGTGTAAAACTGACAACAGTCGCTTTGACAGCCCTCTGAATCTCACTCACCCTGTTTCTTCCCTCACCTTGAAGAGGTCCTTGAGGGTCCACAGAAAACCCTCACCCTCTAGTAAAGGCAATCAACATAAAATAGGAGTGACTATTAATGAGCATATAAGGCTTCCAACTAAAGAGGAGGGAGGAGGGCTAAATAGGTTAAGAAATTCATTTTTTTAACATAAAATTTCCTAGAAGGGAGTCCTCTGTTTTCTCTCAAAGTAGGCCCTTTATGAAAGGGAACTTTGAAATTGATTGTGTTTAAGGCAATCAGCCAGGGAAGGGCTGAAATAAACAACCAGCAAGTAAGCCTGCAGGACTGACTTAGGGAAGGTGGCAGAAACCACACAGACTTGATGTTGCCCGGCATTTGACCATGGAAAATCATGGCCCTGACAATTCTAGCACTGATGGTTACAAGAGAAATAAGTGGAAAATGAGGAACTGCAGACAAGTGCCAGATCCCTGAGCAGAAGCTCCCATCTCTCACTCAGACATATTAATACAAGGCTGGGTACCAGTGGCTTACATCTATAATCCTAGCTACTCACGAGGCTGAGTTCTGATTATCACAGTTCAAAGCTAACCCAGGCAGAAGAGTATTTATCTCCAATTAACCACCAGGAAACTGGAAGTGGCACTGTGGCTCAAAGTGATAAAGCGCTAGCCTTGAGTAAAAAAGCACACAGATAGTACCCAGTCCCTGAGTTCAAGCCCCACAACTGACACACACACACACCCCAAAAAAGTGAGCATATTTGATCTTAAAGTGAGCAGTGCAAATCACAAGTTAGAAACTTCTTCAGAGGCTTCTCTTCACAGAGAAAGTCCTATCTTGGTATCTTGTCCACTAGCCCCCAACAGACCTGAAATTAAACCAAAAAGTGAATGTGCATGTTGAATGATGGACCTATTTGGTCAGGGCTGTGATCTCTTCAGATTTCATGGCATCAGACAGGAAGCTAAGCTCATTGCATAAAGTCTCATATCGGAATGCCATCCGAATCTGAGCCACATTTGTCTTTCGGATATCGTTTCCTTCAGGTCCTTCTTTATAATAGTTCTCTCCCAAAAACTTCTGTTTTTCCTATGGAACAAAGAAAATAGAAATGAAATAGTATCTACACAGGCAGCTTTTATTTTAGCCCCAGCAAACAGATTGGTTCCCCTGAAGCAGTTCCTCAATCAGGACATCATCCATAGCACTCAAAATCCTTCCTGTCCTCCATGTTCTTGAGGATGTCACCTGATCTCAGTCCCTTCATGCCTATGACTTCCTTGACCAGAAAGGAAAGAAGCTGCCATGGGTAGTAAGGTCTTAAGATTAATTAAGAATCCCTCCTGAGGTGACAAGGGCAGAGAGACAAGTTTCTGGGGAGGACAAGTCACAGGAGCAACTACATAAAACTTAAGCTTTAAAAATCTTCCCTGGTTTGACTCCAAGGTCTCTGATCCATTTGGAGTTGATTCTGGTGCAGGGTGATATATAAGGATCTAGCTTTAGTTTTCTACAAGTGATTCACCCATTTTGCCAGCACCATTTACTGAAGAGGCTGTCTTCCTTCCATTCTATTTGTTTAGCTCCCTTATCAAAGATTAGATGGCT